GGAGGGAGAAAGGGGGAGAGAAATATCAATGTGCCAGAGAAACAACGATTGGTTGCCTCTTGCATGCCCCCAACCGGGGTTCTGGCCTGCAACCCAGGCGTATGTCCAGTCCAGGAATTGAACCACTGACCTCTTGGTTTCTGGGACAATGCCCAACCAATTGAGCCACACTGGTCAGGGCTCAAAACACTGTTTTTAGGTGCATACACATTTCAGATAGTTATGTCTGCTTGGGTAGTTGACTCTCTTATCATTATGTAATTCCCTCTTTATTCTTAAAAATTTTCCCAGCTCTGAAGTCTACTTTGTTTGATATCAATCTAATCTAAATATAGCCAGTCCAGCTTTAAACATTTTTAATTTTTTAAAATTTAGTGATTTGAGAGTGCAAGAAATCAATTTGCTGTTCCACTTATTTATGCATTCATTGGTTGTTTTTTGTATGTGCCCTTACTGGGGATTGAACCCACAACCTTGATATATTGGGACAACACTCTGAGCTACCCAGACAGGCCAGTCCAAATTTTTTTTTTTTAAAATAGTGTTTGTGTGATATATATCTTCCCTTTACTTTTAACTTATCTACTCATATATCATTATATTTCAAGTTGGTTTCTTGTAAACAGTGCACATATATATTTATTTATATTTTAGAAGATTTTATTTATTTTTAGAGAGAGGGGAAGGGAAGGAGAAAGAAAGGGAAAGAAACATCAATGTGTGGTTGCCTCTCATACACCCCCTACTGGGGACCTGGCCCACAACCCAGGCATGTGCCCTGACTGGAAATTGAACCGACAACCCTTTGGTTCGCAGGCTGGCATTCAACCCACTGAGCCACACCAGCCAGGGTAGCATATACATATTTTAATACACGATGATCACTTTTTCTTTTTGGTAGAAACATTTTATATATTACATAATTCTCTGTTTGCAATTTTTTCTCTTGGCTTGTTATCTACTTTCGTTAGATTTTAAAAAATTATTTAAAACATTTAGCCCTGGCTGGTGTTGCTCAGTGGATTGAGCGCGGGCTGCGAACCAAAGTGTTGCAGGTTTGATTCCCAGTCAGGACACATGCCTGGGTTGCAAGTCACGGTCCCCAGCAACCGCACATTGATGTTTCTCTCTCTCTCTCCCCCACACACACACACTTCCCTCTCTAAAAAATAAATAAAATCTTTAAAAAAATTATTTAAAACATTTATATAGAGTAAAATGGACTTTTCTGCTTATAGTTCTATGCATTTTAGTATGTTAATAGATTCATTTAATCATCACAATTAGGATACAGAACAGTTCTATCACCCTCAAAAAACTCCCTCATGCTGCCCCACCATCATCAAATGCTTCCTCCAGACCGAATTCCTGGCCACGAGCGATCTGTTCTCCATCCCTAGAGTCCTGCCTTTTCTAGAACATCATATAAAGAGAATCATAATGCATGTAACACTTTGACACTGCTTTCAGTCAGCATAGCGCTTTGGAGATTTTTCCACATTATCGCATGTATAAATGACTCACTCCTTTTTATTATTTAGTAGTTTCCATTGTATGGATTTATGTTTATTTATTCACTTGTTGAAGGACATTTGAGTTGTTTCCAGTGTTGGCAATTATGAATAGAGCTTTTAGGAACATCCATGTGCTTACTGGGTTTAAAATTTTTTGGTTGTGTGTGTGTGTAAAAATGGGTTTTAATTTCTCTACGGAAAATACCTAGGAGTGGGACTGCAGGGTTATATGGTAAATTACATGACAAGTGCATTAACTTCATAGGAATTACTGAGTGACTGTGTCACTTAGCATTCCCAGTACCAACATATGAAGGCTCCAGTGGCTCCAATACTTGCTGACACTTGGTGTTGCCAGTTTAAATTGTTAGTTATTCTAACAGGTGTGGTGAGGTGAATGTCACAATGGTTGTCATTTGCACGTCCGTAATGCCTACTGACAGAAAGCATCTTTTCATGTGCTTCTCTGGCACCTGTATACCTTTCTAGGTGCAGTGGTTGTTAAAATTTTTTGCCTATTTTTAAAAAATTAGGTCGCTTTGCTTTGTTGAGTTTTGATAGTTATTTATGTTCTGTGTAAAGCCCTTTGTTGTATATGTGATTTGTAAGTTCTCTCTTCCAGTCTGTATCTGATTTTGGTAGCAGGGGAATTCTTACTTCAAAACGAGTTAAGAAGTGAAAGAGGTTGTATAGAATTGGTGTTTTTCCTTCTTTGAATTTGTCAAATTCTTTTTCTGAGGACTTTAAACTATGAATGTACTCATTCAGCAAATAAATTATTAGTCACATTTTCTATTTTTTCCTTGGTGAGTTTTGGTTGTTTGTGTCTTTTAAACAACCAGTCCATTTCATCAAAATGTAAAACTTTTGTGAATCAAAGGGCACGATCAAAGAATTGAGAAGATAATCCACAAAGTGGGAGAAAATGTTTTCAAATCATACATATGATAAAGGATTTGCATCCAGAATATTTAGAGAACTCTTATAACTTAATAATAATAATAATAATAATAATAATATAAATAACCCAATTAAAAATGGGCAAAGGACTTAATTAGACATTTCTCCAGAGAAGATAGACGAATGGCCAATAAACACACAAAAGGGTGCTAAACATCATTAGTAATTAGGGAAATGAAAATCAAAACCATAAGTGTTAGTGAAACTTAAAGAAATGGAAACTCTCATGTTTTGCTGTAGGAATGTGAAACGGTCTAGCCGGTGTGGAAAACTTTGAAAGTTCCTCAAAGTGTTAAGCATAGTTGCTACCCTCAGGTATATTACCAAGTGAAGTGAAAACATACATTCGCACAAAACCTTGTAAGCATCGTTTGCAGCAGTGTCATTCACAGCAGCCAAAAACTGGAAACATCGCCTGTCTCTGATAGCGGCATATCCTCATAGTGGAATGTTCTTCCACATAAAAAAAGGAATGAAATACTGATAAATGCTATGACATGGATGAACCCTAAAAACATGTTCAGTAAAAGATGGCACAGAAGACTACATACTGTACAGACAAAACTTACCTAAATCTAGACAGAAAGACCAGTGGTTGCTGAGCGCTGGGGGAGGGGTGAGCTGGGGAGTGGCAGCTAATGGGCACAGGGCTCCTTTTTAGGGAGATGACAACATTCTCAAATTAGGTTGTGGTGATGTTTGTGCTTCTCTGAACACATTAGATACTACTGAATTTTACATTTTAAGTAGGTGACTTGTATGTGAATTGTATGTTACAAAATCCATGATGACATCATAATCAGTCATAGCAATGAGGACTATAGCAACTGTTTTCTTCTTTGCTTGTTATGTGTTTATCAACTAACTTTTCCTTCCCTCTAGTATTTTATGTGAAAGTATTGACAGTGCTGATGCACCTTACTATTTCTTCCAGATATGGAACATTCAAATGGCATTTTGACTGGAACAGTGACGGATGTAATGACTACAGAACTCTGCTGTCCTTCCCTTTCAGGGAGTGACACATCTGTGAGAAGGGCACTTGCACAGCGCTGGGGGCGGGGGCAGGAAGTTGTTGGAGTTGTGTGGAAATCGGATATGGCAGAAAGGTATGTATGAGTGATGAGTAGCCAGAGGCGGGGACTGTGCTGGTTACTGTATCTCAGCCCCAAACCCACTTGACTTTCCGTTCTGTGAGGCTATTGCTGGACTGCTGAAAACTACATTTCCCAGACTCTCTTGCCAGTGGGCCTCTTGTTAAGGTTGACCTGCTAGTAGGGGCTGGCTGAGGGGGACTGGGAAGTGAAAGAAGGGAAGGGACTTTCTTCCACTCTCCAAAAACAGTTATCAGTAGTGGACATTTAGCTCCAGCATGGACCATTTTTGCACCCACCTTCTTAGAAGTTCCAGCACCAACTGCTACAAATTCAACCCTTCCCCGCAGTGCACATCAAAAATCCAAGTGCTGGTCTCATGGGGGCTCTTCCCTGTAGGTTTCTGGCCAGCTTCCAAGATGACCCCCAGTGATCCACTCCAGTCCTGCTATTAGTGGCCCTGTGTCTGCTCCCCGGCTGAGTCGGGGTTGGCCAGTGTGACCAATGGATATGGTGAAAGTGATGCTGTGGACTCCTGAGACTAGGTCACAAAAGGCAGTGGAACTTGCAGTGTGCTCTCTTGGGATGTGCACCCTGGAAGGTGCTGTGAGGGTACTCATGGAGCTCTGTGGAGAGGAACCTGAAGCCTCAACAGCCAGCGCCAACTTGTGGCCATATGAATGAGCCACATCCAAGGGCCCCTGGAAGTGGACCTTCCGGCTCCTGCCACTCGCTCAAATGACTGAAGCCCCAGGCGATATCTGACAGCAACCTCGGGAGAGACTCCAGACCAGAGCCACCGACTGACCTCAAGAGAAACCTCCAACAAGAACCATCCAGCAACCTCAGGACAAATTCCAAACCAGAACCATGAACCCGACCTCAGGAGAGATCCCAGGCCAAAACCACCCACCCACGCTGCTCCCAAGTTCTGGATGGAAACATTGAGAGCCGTGAGCAGTCACTGTTATTTTAAGCCACCAGGTTTAAAGGGTGATGAGTTGTATTACATCAGATAACTATGTCACCTCCTCTTTCCTTAAATGCTGCCAAAGGGTGGCAGCTGCTTTCGTTCATCATCATCTCCAGGTTACCTCAGCATCCACTGTTTCAACAGCTGTGTGAAAATTCCCCAGATTAAATGCTGTATATTTGAAATAGCTAGTGTGGTTTCTGTTTTCCTGATTGAACCCTTTAAGTTTTAGAAAGAAGAAAACATGAAATGAAAGCAATATATCCCCTGATATTTCCCCTACTCTTCCCCCTCCCAAACCTGGCTCCGGGGAAGTCTTCGCTTGTCCCGATGGGCCACCACCACTGCCCCCTCTGCCCACCCCCATCCCGTTTATGTCTTCCCACTAGGCCTCTAGTCACAAAGCTCTTCTCCTGTCCTATTTCCTCCGGGCCCCCAGACACACATCACTAGGCAGGATCCGGGTGGGGGGAGCACGGAATTGAGTTTATTGTTCTGAGTCTGGGTTTTGTTCCTTAGACATCAAGATTCCTGGATGGAGGTGACTGTCCCACCTCCCTGAGTTGCAGTCCCATGGGCTCGTTTGGATTGTTTTCCAGGTTCAAGTGCACTGAGAAGGCTTCACAGTTTTAATACTTCCTAGATGCTCAACTGAGGCAAAGTGACAAAATGGCCCCCCCACCCCACCCGCCAAAAAAATAAAACCCCAAGCTCCCAGCAGCTGCTGCTGCAGCCGTATGAAAAAATAATACAAACTCTTCTTAAAAAATAGATTACACAGAAAGAACCCAGAGGACAGAGGGACATGGGGAGAGGCAGGGGCTTCCAGCCACTGGTAGGGAGCCTCGGGGAGAGGCCCAGGAGGGGACGCTGAGATGAACTTCAGGGGGCTGCGATGCTGGTGGATGCCTGCCTCCTCTGCTCTGCCCAACCTCCCTCTGCGGCTCCTCCCAGCAGCTCAGGTGCAGGGAACTGCCCTCCACCCTGAGGCCTGGTACGTGCTTCTCACTAAAGTGGCTTCAATAAAGAAACAAAAAGACCCAAAGCAGGAAGGGCCGCTGGCCAGACAGCAGGGATGTCCCCCTGTAGGAGCAGACCTCTCCCTGCTTAGGGGGTTTGGATAGTTATCAATACCTGCTACTACCTAGACACCCCTGGGGGTGACAGGCCCCAGACTCCCTTATGGCTCCTGGGAACACGGCCTGTCCCTTGACACGCCCCCCCCGCCCCCGTGCACCCAGCTGTGACAGGGCACGGTCTGAAGTTGTCCTCCAGGCAGGCCTTGGAGGAGCTGCAGACAGGTGGAGGGTGTGCAGGACGGCCGGGGCGGCGGGGTGCGGGGTGGGGCACAACTCACATGGGCCCTCCAGCTCATGCAAGGAGAAGCAAGAGGGGGCAGCCCCACCGAGACAGAGGTAAGGCGGGGCGAGGTGATGGTGTATGTGCAGCCAGGCTGGCTCTGGGGCCAGAGGCAGATGGGGTAGGGGCCACGGCCCACAGGGGAGGAGGAGGCAAGTCAGGGCCTGGTCCTGGGGAGGGGGCTGGGTGCCTGCTGCCCTCTGAGGGCTCCACACCCAGCTACCTCCTACACGGGAATCCGGTGCAGGGTGGATTCTCCGCAGTGGGGACAGGGATTCTGGGTGGGCTGGGCTCAGTCAGGGACCTCGGGGTGGGCAGGCAGTCCACTTTCACCACGCCGGTAGGTCTCCCAGAAGCCCCTGTCCAGCTGCTCCAGCTGTGAGCCCAGTGGGAGGTGGCCAGCCAAGTGCATTCGGAGGGTCTCCAGCCATTGCTCGAGCTTCACGAAGGAGGGCCTGGGGTGACAGGTGGGGGGACAGGGACAGTGGGTTCTGGCTTTGCAGGGGACTGGCCCACCCCCAAGGCTGCCCAGGTTAAGCCCCACCCCACTCACCTTTTCTCGGGATCCAGATCACAGCAGCGCACGGTAATGGGGAAGAAGCTTGGGGGACAGTTTGGGGGGCAGTAGCGGTCCAGGAAACCTCGCACATTGAGGCCAAAGTCCATGGTGCGGGGAAGATAGTCAGGGTCAGCGTTCACCCGCCCGATGATCTGTCCAGCACAGGGCAAGCAGTTACCCAGGCGCCCTTGGGGCCGGGTGCCACCCAGGTGGGTTTGCGAGCAGGTCACACTGGGCCTGGATGCAAATTGCTGTGGGCAGCCCAGTTCCCAGGAGCCTCCCTGGCTCGAGGGGCCTGCAGACTTCCGGCCTGCAGCCTTGGGAGGGTGGGGAGTGGAGAGGAGCCACTGGGCCTGACACCAACTGCTGCCCACCCCAGGACCTACCTCACACAGGACGATTCCAAAGGAAAACACATCCACCTTCTCATCATAGCTTCGGCCTAGACAGAGAGAAGGACGGTTACCAGATGAGGCAGGGCCAGGAAGGCCAGCTGGGAGGGGGGCTAGGCCAGGGCCTGACCAGCCTCATGGCTGCCCAGGCCAGCGGGTCAGATGCTCTGCCCTTAACCCCACCAGGTCTGAGCAAACTGTTGTGGGGTGAGGACGAGAGCCCTCGGCAAGGGGTTCCAGGCCCAGCTCGGTCACTGACGAGCTGTATGACTCCAGACAAGTCATGAACTTCACGGTGGCCCAGAAGGATAACCCCATCAGACCCCTGGAACCTGTGAAGGTTACTTCATTGGAAATACAGTCTTTGCAGATATGATGAAGGGTCTTGAGATGACATAATCCTGGATTACCCAGGGAAGCCCTAAATGCCATCACAAGTGTCTTTAAAAGAAAGACAGAAGAGCCTGACTGGTGTGGCTCAGTGGGTTGGGCGTCATCCTGCAAAGGGAAAGTTCGCCAGTTCAATTCCTGGTCAGGGCACACGCCTGGGTTTCAGGTTCAGTCCCCAGGCAGGGCACATATGAGGGGCTGCCAATTGATGTGTCTCTCTTGCACCGATGTTTCTCTCCCTCCCTTCCCCTCTCTGTAAGAATAAATAACATCTTTTTTAAAAAGGGGAGAGAGAGAGGAGAGAAGGCACACAGCAGAGGAGCCAGTGGCCATGGGAAGATGGAAGCAGAGGCTAGAATGATGCAGCCTGGGAATGCCACAGCAGCTACCGGGAGCTAGAAACAGCACGGAACGAACCCTCCCCTACAGTCTGCAGTGGGCACAGCTCTGCTTCTGTCTCCTAGAACCTTATATAAAAGAATAAACTTCTTTTGTTTTCAGCCACCCACTTTGTGGTGATTTGTTGTAGCAGCCTCAGAAACTGATATAGACTCTTTAAGCCTCAGTTTCCTCATCTGTAAAATGGGAAGAATAGCATCTAATTCACGATGTTAAAAACAATCAATACAGCCACCTGTTTATTGAATGCTGCCTAGTTTATCACTTTAATCCTCATACCACCCCTTACAGATGAAGTTATCTGGGGGGCTATGTTAGCTTCCGTCAGAGCTGGTGCCGAGATGACCCTGTGCTGGCATGCACCTGCCCATGGAGGGGCTGGATAACCCGCAATCTAGGCATACACAGGACTGCTGTGTGGCAGGCCTGATTAAAAAAAGAAAGGGAGTGGGGTGGGGTGAGAGACTGGGGGTGAGAGAGTGAGGGGGGAGAGAGAGAGAGAGAGAGAATTAATAATGCCCCCCCCACAATGTCCACGTCCGGAGCCCTGGAACCTGTGAATATGCTGCCTTATATGGGGCTGTACAGGTGTGACTAAGTTAAGGATCTTGAGATGGAGAGATTACCTTGCATTATTGGGGTGAGCCCTGTGTAATTACAAAGGTCCTTATGAAAGAGGGAGGAGGATCAGAGTCAAGGAGAGAGATGTGACACTGGACACAGACGTCAGAGAGAAGATGCCAGGCGGCTAGCCTTGACGGAAGAAAGGGCCACCACCCGAGGAATGAGGCGGCCTCTGGAAGCTGGAAGAACACAGGCTCTCCCCTAGAGCCTTCAGAAGGAGCTAGTCTTGCTGATGCCTAACTTTAGCCCAGTGAGACTGCTGTTGGACGCCTGACCTCCAGAACCACACAATGATTGGGTTTTTTTAGGTCAAGTGTGTGGTAATTTGTTACACTAGCAACAAGAAGCTCACATAAGACTCAAAGTAGAAGTGGAAGGGCCAGGGAGGCCAGGGGTTGGGTGGCTGCAGCTCTGCCTGGGACCCCGGGGTCCCTGGGACATATGACTGGTGGGGCCACCCACTCACCATTGATCATCTCGGGTGCCATCCAGTACGGGTTGCCTACCACCGTGTAACGCTTTCTTCGGTCTGGCTTCTTGAGGCTTCGCAGGTCCTGCGGCTGAGTCTTCTCATCCACCATGAGCCGTGCCAACCCAAAGTCGGCCACCACCACAGTCTTGTTCTGGGGTGACGAGGAAGCAGGGTCACACTGAGCATGCTCCTGCCTCATCCAGCTATGTGCTCCTAGGCCGGACCCACGCCAACTCACAGCCAGCCAGAGAACACACCTCTGATACCTGGGGGCTTGCCGAGGGGGTCGCAACCCCACTGCTCAGAGGGGCTCAGGTGCAGGGTGAGGACCCCCTTCCTCCCCCAAACCCCTCTGCCCTTTGCGAATGGAGCTGCCCAAAGCTTCAGAAAACACCAGTGTGGCCCCACTCCCCTCCTTATTATTTATCTCTTAATTCTCGAACAACCTGGTACATGCTATCTTACAGGTGAGGTGACTCAGGCCCAGAGGGGTGGAGAAAGTTGCCCAAGGCCACCCGGTTGGCCAGGGACAGGACCAGGATTCAAAAATCCAGGACTCTGGAGCCCCTGGCTCTACTGTTTCAGGTGTGGTGGAGCCCCTCCCAGGGCCCGGGCCAGAACCCTGGCAGAGTCGGGGTGCTAACTGCTATGTCAATCCCACAAGGCGGGAAAATCAGGGACAGAGCCTCCTGAGAGATGAGGGACAGGCAGGGAGGCCCAGGGCACGGTGCCAAGTCAGGGAGCTGGGGAGGTCCTCCGAGTGCCCCACAGCCCAGCCTCTTGGGCTTGGTGCCCGGGGCCATGGAATTCTGGACCCTATTTTCCGGCTCCAGGATGGGAAGCTGTTGGGTGACACCGAGGAGTGGACACAGAGAGGCTGAGGTGGCAGGGCCCCAGGCAGGTGGCAGTTAGGGCCAGGCACACTCTGAAGGGACGAACCCCGTGCTGCCTTTGGGAGTGACGCAGATGTGGACAGTCACTCAGAAAAGACTCTACAGAGACGGCAAGTGGCGGAGGGGAGGCATTTGCGGCCCTCGCCCACCTTGATGGGGCCTCAGGTGGAACAGTCCCTCTCAGGGCTCCATCTCCTCAGGGGTAATACCAGGTGGGCGGGTAGCTGAGGGGTCTTGATCTGAGGTCCCCAGACTCCTGGGCAAGGGTTCTTGAGTGCCAGGGTCCATCAGGATTGTCCAAGTGCTGTTCCTGCCCCATCCTTTTCAGAAGGCCTGACATGGGGGCGGGAAGGGGAGGGGCTCCAGACTGTGCACTTTCAATGAGTCTCCCAGGACTTAATGGTGCAGGCTCTGCGGACTCTGCTATGGGAAGCAGCTCTAGGGAAAGCAGCCACGGTGACCACTGCATTCTCAGAGGCCCCACACTGGAGGCCGAGGTTTTGAAATTGTGCACAGATGCACTCTGGGGACAGCAGGGCTCACAACTCTCATGGGATTCTCAAACGATGGGCCGTGCTGTGGAATCAAGGCTGTGACAGGTCTCCCTGTCCTCACCCTGCCCAGAGCACTGGCAGGGCCTTGCAGTGATGCCCACTGCCAGCAGGGGCAGTCTAAGCAGGCTCCCTGGGAGGCCCGGGGGTGGATCTAGCCTCACGCACCTCTCTGGGCTCACTGGCCACTGCTTCCCAGAGCCCATCGGATGTCGGAGGGCTGAGACCCCCACTTGACAGCGAGCAACTCAAGGCTTCCCGACTGTCATACCGCTGGCCTTTGCATGTCGCACTCCCACCATCAGAAACACTCGTCCCGCACTGAATTCACTGGGCAAACACCTTTCTGGAGAACCTCCTCCTCCCGCAGGGCGGGTCTCGCCCTGCCTGGAGTGCCGTGGGTCACGTCGGCCAGAACCCCAAGGTGAACTTATTTGGAAATAGGGTCTTTGCAGATACAATTAGTTAGGATGCGGTCACATGGGATCAGGGTGGGCCTCGAATCCAATGTCCTCACGAGAGGAGGACACACAGGCATGCGGAGGGAAGGAGGCCACGTGAAGATGGGGGCAGACTGCAGTGATGCAGCTTCAGCCAAGGAACGCCAAGCAGTGCCAGCAGCCACCAGATGCTGGGAGAGAGACCGGGGCCAGACTCTCCCTCGGAGCCTCTAGGGGACCAGCCCTGCCAACACCTTGACTTTGGACCTTTGGCTTCCTGAACCCTGAGAACACGTTTCTGTTACTTTACACCGCGCAGCCTGTGGTACTGTGTTCTGGCAGCCCCAGAAACCTCTCCAGTTGGGCCCAGTCAGTTGCTCCCTCTCCCTTCTGAAACTGCCTGTGGTTGTTTCACTCCAGACTCCCTGCCCCCACTGCCCCAGGCCTCTTCCAGGAAGCCTGCCCTGACCACCCCAGCCCACGCTCCCAGGCCCAACTGTAGGTCCACAGCTGTGGGTGCTGCCCAGCACAGGCCTGGCCACTCTGCCATGGCCCTTCTCGGCGAACGCCACACTCTTGGTCCTTTACAGTTTACACATCAGTTTCTCCTTTGCCTCCTACAACCTGCAAGGTCAGTGGCTCAGAGAGCTGCAGCCACACTGCAAGCGAGGTCTGTTTGCCTCCTGGCCTTGAGCTGCTTCCCCATGGGCCTAGTTGGAGTGGAGGCATCTACCCAGAAACCCCTGTTCAGAGAAGGCCCCCAGGCTAGGAGCGTGGTGTGCAGGGCTCCTGCTGCCCCTCCCTCCCAGGCCCAGGCTGCTCACCTCACGGACCAGGCAGTTGTGGGAGTTGAGGTCCCGGTGGATGATGTTCATGGAATGGAGGTAGGCCTGGGGGTGGGGGCATGGAGGTCAGGGGGCAGTGTGCCGAAGGACCCCAGCTGGGTCCCCAGAGCCTCCCGCCCCCCCTCCCACTCAGGCCAGCTACGGGTGCTCTTCCCAGTCTCCATTCGAGCCCCTCTGCCCCCTCCCAAAGCTCCCCTGTGGTTTCCATTTCTAAATCCTTGTGGAGTTTTAGGTCAGCAGAGAGAAAGTCTTTATAAGTGGGGTTGGGTCACCCAGCCCAGGCTCTGTAAGTCAGAACCAGAGCCTACTCACCATCCCTGAAGCAATATCCTTGGCAAAGCTCACCCTCTGGCTCCACGGGTACTGGCTCTCCTGGGGGCGGCGGGGGAAACAATGGCCAGGAGGGGCCAGCAGGGCCACAGTGGCAGGACAAGTGGGTGAGGGAGAGGCCGGAGGGGCGAGTGTCCTAGAGAGTCTGAAACCCCTCCTCTCTTCTGCACCCACACCTGTTCCTTCTAAGGGGTGTGGGTAGATAATTCCAAACAATTTTCTAACAGACTGATTCCAAACAGTAAAAAGGGAGGGGTGGGGAATACCCCTCTCTAGTTCTTGATCACCACCTCTGAGAAAAAAAGCTTTTTTATCTTATACAATATCCCATTCTTTCAAATTTTAAAAAAATCTGAAGCTACTTCCGTGGACCATCAGAGGTAGGTGGGCCTGGTGGGGTCACCTGCAGAAGGCCAGCCACGCCACTCAGGAGAGAACGGTTTTGGGTTCCAGCCATGTGGGGAAACACCGTCTCTTGCCGCATACCCTAGGACACCTCCAGCGGGAGGTGAGGCCACGAGAGCGAATTAAAGACTCAGGGTGCAGTTAGGGAGCCGAAGCCGGTGCGGCCCAGTGTTCCTGAGTAGTACCTGACCCCAGAGTCCCCTCTGAGAGGTTATGTATGTTAGGAGCCCACAGGAGTGACACTTTGGCAACGCCAGGTAATTCCGCCGAGGGGCGAGGAACCCACGGCGGGCGTGGGAGGCGGATGGGATCTTGAGGTGCCGGGGTGACGCTGAGAGGGCCCTAGTACCGGGTCCCAGGGTCGCTGCCAGCAGCAGGACAGTGCTAGACGTGCCCCTCCAAGCACTCTGTTTCTAAAGATGGCTTTGTCATTTTTTAAAAGAAAATTCTGAATTTTATGGAACGTGGTGAACAGTGCAATTGTTTGGTTTCACCAGAAGCAAAACAAAGGCCCACTAAGAAGAGATAATGGGAGGGGCTCTCCTCAGGTGTTTGACCTGTGGCAGGTGTGGTTGCGTCAGACCCATGGCCCTGAAGGGTGGCTAATTCATGACAGCCTCTGTGTCTCCTCAGCAAAGCTGCCACCCTTCTCTGGGCCCCAGCTACTCCCTGGCTTCAGATGGAGTCTGTGTGGCCCTACTGGATTCCTCCGAATCAGGCTTTGGAGGGTCTCTGAGACCAGAGGCTGACCCCACCGAGGAGCAACAGGACAGGGCCCAGAGGGGAGGTGCCCAGCAGGGGCAGCCCAGCACTCACCATGTTCTTGATGATGCCCCGGAGGGTGCCCCCTTTGATGTACTCGGTGATGAAGTTGAGCCTCTTGTCCTTGTAGAGCACCCCGATGAACTTGAGCACATTGGGATGCTCCAGGCATCGCATGACCTTGACCTGGTGGAGAGCAAACAGGTTGGGCCCGGGGCTGTGCTCACATCTCCTTCTCCCTCCATTGTCCCAGAGGCCACAGACAGTGCCAAAGACGGAGAAGGCCCCCACCCCCTGGGACTCCTGTCACTCCCGCTGGCCTCACTGCTCTTTGTTCAAGCTGCTCAGAGCCCCAGGGGTGGCCCTGTCCTTCTCGCCCTCCTGGCAGACACTGTCTCTTCTTTCAATATGTGAGCTGAGTGTCATTCCTCTGCCATCCCCCCTCAGTGGGGGAAAGGGGTAGGGACCACAGCATGTTCCAGAAGTCTGGTGAAGAGGAGGTGGCAGTTCCACTCACTGACCTCCTTGAGAAATGTCCTCTGTGTCTCCTCATCGAACCGGATCAGCTCCTTCATCACCATCACCTCACCCGTCTCCCGGTGTGTCACCTGCGTGGGGACACCAAGGCATGGAGACAGAAGACAGAGGCTCTGCTCTGAGCCCAACTTGTCCGAGGCCCCGGCCCTACCCCAGGACTGACAGGGAGATCAACAGTCGGCCTCAAGATCTTCACAGACATTTCCTGGCCCTCAAGGGCAGAAGACCTTAATACCTTTACAGATGAAGAAACTAAGGCTCAGAGGTTTCCTAGCAGGGCCCAAGGTCAGCCAGCTGGCAGGGCAGGGGGGTGGCTGGAGCTTGGGCCCAGGGCTGCCTGACCAGAGGCCAGCTCTTTGCTCAGCTCTGCTGGGCTGCTACCAGCAGCTAGAACGTGGCTCTACCAGGGACTCCTCCCCTGGCAAGAGGACCAGGGACAAGGGCTGGGGGCCAGGGCCAATCTCAACTAGGGCATATGGGTGGCCTTGCCAGCGTCTTTTGTATAATCCTAGATCTTCTCGCCTAGTCCTAGCTGGTGACAGGAGAACCAGGGAAGGGCTCAGGTCTCAGCCGGGGAGAGTATGAAAGGGAAGCAGCCCTGAGCCCTGAGTGGGTTGGCATCAAGCTCAGCACAAGACCTTCAGGGTCTGGCTGGGCTGTCCCCCCCTCCCCCACCTTCTAACGACCTCCTCCACATGAGGTTCTGGATCTGTCTGGAGTTGGTCCCCTCCCTGTCACTAGCTCAGGGAGGCCTCGGAGGAGGTGAGTACCGGCCAGGAAGTCTGGAGCCCCTTCTACGTGGATTCCTAGAGGCATTGGTGGGAGGAGGCAGAACTGAGACCCCCGCTCCCACTCCTGGCCCATCCCTGCATGGCGTGCCCTATACCTTGATGGCCTGGCCGAAGCAGCCCTTGCCCAACACCTCCCCGTGGATGAGGTCCGACGGCCGGAAGATGCGGTGCGGCCGGCAGACCACGCGGAGGGACTCGGAGCGCCCCAGATCCTTGCGCTGGGAGGCAGGGGACCCCAGTGAGCCGGCGCCTGGAGACCTGTCGATGCTGCAGCTCCTCCTGGGGGGCACACACACAAGCCCAGTGCCACTGGGGGCATGTGGACACCTGGCTGAGGCCCCCTGGGGGCAGCGAGGCCTTAGCCTGCCCCTTCCTTTTGCCTGTCATGCTCCCCTCTGTCAGTGTATGCACAGTCATCTGGCCCAAGGGGGTGGCACAGGGCAGCTCTCTCCTGGGGCGGTCACAGGCTTTCGCCTTATCCTGATGGCCCTCCCTGCTTGGCGTTCCTGTTTGAGGCCCACTATCGTTCAGGTGCCCTTGGTAGGAATGTTTATCCTTGGGCTTCTCCGCGTGGTGGCCCTGGGTCAGACACTTCTGTCTCTGAGCATTTGGGTCCTGGGTACAGAAGCTTCCTGCCTAGGAAGCCCTGCCATATAGGTGGCCCTACAGGGTGGCAGGAGCTCCAGATAAACACAGATGAGGAGAAAATACATAACTTCAACATCACTGCTTCTTAGAGTAAAGGCTATCCCCCCCAGGAGTGGTCCTCTCCGCCTCCCCAAGTCTTTACCAGGAGTCCTGAGCAGGCCCGCGATGAGTACAGTGAGGACCAGGCTGCTTCTGGGTTTCTTCCTCATGTCTCCCAACCCCCTGCAAGAGGGTACGGGGCACCCCCCACACCTGGACCACCACAATAGCCCTCTAGCTGTCGCTGGCCTTGGATGCCCTTCCACACAGGGGACCAGAGTGGTCTCTGAAAAATATCATGTTGCTGCAGTACCCTGAGGGTGGACAGCATCAAAGACCCCGCCCGCCCACATCTCAAGCCCTGCAATTTGCAACTATTTGGAAGCCACTCCTCCCAAAGCACACCCAAGACTCTCATCATTCTGCGCAAATAATCCCCAGCTAGGGGAGCTGCTTCCACCTGTCTTCCCACTTCTCATCACCCTTCCTTCCTCTTGCATCGTCCCTAGCACCATCTGCTGGCCTGCCTTTTTGCAGGCCTGACTACCTCATGGACTGAGCATCCGAAGGGTGGGGATCAGGTCCCATCCCGAGGCCCAGTGTCTGTGAAAGTACCTAGATACACCAAGGTGTAGGGTGGACTTACAGGACAGGTTTCTGCCGGGCAGAGCTGCCTGCTTCTCCGCTGGGAGTGTGAGCTGGGGAGACCAGGGGGCTGGGCTCAGGCCCCGCCACATGGCCCAGCGTGTCGTGGGGGTCGTGCTCAAGAGTCAGCTGGAGAAGGCGGCTGGTTTCCTGGATCAGCAGATCAATCTGAGGAGAACAGGTGTGTGGACAGGTGAGCCCCAGGTGGTGGGGGGCGGTACTGAAGGCACCGCCTTCCGTCCTGCTTACCAGACTCAGGACCCATACCTCATCCAGGGGCACGTTCCGAATGGGTGTGCCATTGATTTCCAGGATCCGGTCTCCAACATGAATGGAATTCTTCACATCTGGACTCATGCAGCCTGGGTCCACTCTGTGGGCACAGAGCGGTGGTCAGACCCTTGGCCCCCTGCCTGCCCCCTAGAGCCCTGAGAGGACACCAAAGCAAAGGGATCACGTCGGGGTGAGGGGACAGATGATTTTGTCTTGTGTGATCAGTAGGTGGCAATGATCTAGAACCCAGAGTTCTGGTTTGGGGGGAAGCATTCTGTAATTAATCACCGATGCCTGCCCTGTGACACCGGGGAAGGGTGGCACAGCTCCACGTGAGCTCAGGGGCTCCCGTTCAGCAGAGCGCTGTCTCTGTGGACGAGCTTCCAGGGGTGCTTGGGGCAGATGAATGCCATGAGTCCCGAAAGGGTCTGGGTCTGCTGGCTTCCTTCCCGACTCCCACACTTGCCCTGAGAGATGGGGTGAAGGCCTCCGTCCCCCCAGAAGCAGCAGGAAGGGGCTCGCAGCCTGCCCTGAGCCACAGTTGCAGAGTGGTGGCCAGATGACACCCTGGTTAGGGGCCATAAGTTCACTCAAGGAATGGCCAGTTTGCCAAGTTTAATTGCTTCTTTTAACTCTTTGGTGTTAATTATCTGGTTTCCCTTTGTCTTCATAAAGGCTTTTTAAAGAATGTTCACTTTGCCCCTGCCCTGAGATGGGGAAGGGCTGGGGGACAGGAGAGAGGAGACTGATGACTTTATGGAAAACAGATTCATAAAAAACTTTCATTATAAAGAGCATATTCTCACACGGGGGAGCTCTTCCTTACACTGGAAAGCCAGGTAGTACATGCAGAAGGAAGAACAGAGTTACGAAATCACCATTTTGTAGCCATTGTGGTAATAACTGGTACAGATAAGAATCATCTGTGGATGCTAGCACCATTTGGTGACAGGTCCTTGGGGAACAGGATATTGACAAAGGCAAATCTCATAAATGACTTATAGATTACATTGCAAAGGGAAAAAACGTCCTTCCCAGCAGAGGAGTATTTGCACTTTTTCAGGGAACCAGAGCCGACATCCTCAGGAAAGGGCGCGCTATTCCGACACCACGTGCACGATGCGCGGAAGTGGACGCGGCATCGCTTGCGCAGTAACAGGTCAATGTGCACAATAACCTAACTCTAATACAGAGGAAACATCAGACAGGGATACTCCACTTAACAACTGACCTGCACTCCTCATAAATGTCACAAAGGACCATGAAAAGCTGAGGAATTGTCACAAATTAAAAGAGACCGAAGGGACTTGAGGACCAGTGAAATGCAGGGTCAGGAACTGGATCCTGGATCGAGGAAACTGATAGAGGTGCTGAGAAAACTGGCAACATCTAAGAATGGATTGTAAGTTGCATAAAAGCACTGAATCAATGTTAAATTTCCTAAATGTCATGATTACATGTAAGACACAAGTGAAAATTATGTAAGAGAACACCCTTGTTTTTAGGAGAATGTCAAGTTTTTTCGAGTTTTTTTGGGGGGGTGGGGGGTGGGGAGGAAGGGTCAATGATGTCTGCAACTTATTCCCAAATGATTTAGTAATAACAATATGTACATATGTGTGTATACAAATACAAACCAGTATATGTGCACACACACACATAAATGTAGAGGGAGACACCCCGCCCCTAAATGTGGCAAAAAAATTAAAATTGGTAAACCTAGGGGAAGGGTTTATAGTCATTTAATATACTTATTATTTTAGCAAGTCTTCTGTAAATTTGTAAATTTCAAGATAAAAAATTGAAAAGAAAAAACAATAAACACATTTTCATTTTTTTTTCCCTAAAAAATATATATATATTAGACTCTCCATCTCCTCTCCCTCAGTCTCCTGTTAAGGCAACAGAGGACTGGGTCACAGATAAATTAAATTTTCCTTAAAATGCTACTACAAACAAAATGAAAAGTGCTTCACCAAGACTGGCTTAAAACAAGTACATCCGGTTAGCAGCCTTTGGGCAACCTGGGAGCTTCTGAGAAGGGGGTGGCTCTTTGCAGAAACTGGAAAGCAGATGTTAGTTAGAAAGAACGCTCAGCCAGAAAGAGAGATGGGGGGGTGGGGGGGAGGTGCTACTGGCTCTTCATTTCTAAAATTCTGCCTGGTTGTCAGGCACCAGCTGGCCTGGGAGTCTCCCCATCTCTCTCACCAGTCTGTCTGCTTACTTGTGCATGTGAGGCAGCTGCTGGCCTGGCTGATGCTCAAGGTGGGGGGTGGGGATGCAGAGTCAAGCCCGACAGCATCCTCCGTCCCAGTACCATCTTCACTTCTCATCAGCTATGAGGCGCGGTGCCTGGCACCCAGCAAGTATGTGAGAAACTTCACCGAATCCAGTGGAGGCTGGCTCTTGGTTCTCATGTCCAGGCATTTAATGTCCAGACAAGGGAGACATTTAAAACTATCTTTCAAAGAGCCAGTAAAGGTCTTGGACAGATCTTGGAAGGCTCCAAAGTGTCCAACTTCCTCATTGTTCAAAGACCCCAAAGCCTGGAGGGGACAAGGGAGTGGCTCACTGTCACTGGGCTGGGTCCCTAATCTTCATTCCTTCTGGTGTCTCAGACCTTTGCCGCATCCTTCACAATTTTCTTTGGGCACAGTCTGCTAGTACTAAAACTTGGTTTTCTCTGTTTGGTCTGCCTTAACATGTTTATTTGACCCTCCTTCTTGAAGGATATTTTCAAATATAGAATTCTAGGTTGATGGTTATTTTTTGCTCAATGCATTAAATGTATGACTTCACTGATTTCTTGCCTAGATGGTTTCTGTTAAGAAATCAGCTGTCAGTCCAACTGTCCTTTTCTGAAGGCAATTTGTCTATTTTCTATGGCCTTCGAAGGTCTTTTCTTTTGCCTTCGGTGTGCTGGTTTCACTAGATAGGTGATCTGTGGGTGAATTTCTTTTTATTTTGCTGTTTGGGATTTACTGGGCTTGAGTCTGTGGATTGGGTCTTTTATCAGTTCCGGGAAGTTCACAGCCATTACCTCTCCAAAGAGTGCCTCTCTCCCATTAGTTCTCCCTGCTTCTGGGATTCCAAATAGGTGGTCCCATCCTCTCCCTGTCCTCCACGTGCCTTAAGGTCTCTTTCACAGTTTTCATCCTTTTGTGTCCCTGCTTCTCTCTTCTGCTGCTTTAAACCCTACTCTGCTGTTAAATGCTTGCATTCATGTTTTCATTTTAGAAATCACATACTTCATTTCTAGGGGTTACATTTAGTTCCTTTACCAATTTATTACTCTTTATTCATTTTTTCAAGTATCTTTTTCATTAAAACATATCGAACACAATTATTTTATATTGTTTTGGGTGACTCCAACACTGGAAGGTTTGACAGGCCTGGTTCCGCTTCCTGCTGTTTCTGCCGACTCTTGGTCACAGCGCCTCACTCGCTGCCTTACCTGTGTGTGTGTGGATTTCTGGCTGAATCGCTCATCATCCGTGGGACACTCACCTGAGTCAATTCAGTGAAGCCTGGCAGTGGGTTTCCTCAGAAGGGATCTACATCTGATTCTGTCAGGGCTTGGGAGCACTACCAGCTGGGGAGTGCTTTTGATTTTTACAATTTCGCCTTAAGGTTTTTTGAACCACCCGGACACTTGAACTTGGCTTGCGATCCCAAAGTTATGAATTGTTAGACTCCCTTTTCCCTTCCATTAAGGTTCCGACCAGTTTACAATTCTCAGAGTGGGGCGCTGATGGGAGGTGTGGTTTATTTCTCAATCATCCTCACCTTGAGAACTCTTTTGGGGTCCAAGCTTAATGGGGGAGGGAGCAGTTCTCTTATCAGATTAGCTTCCTTAGCAGGTTGAAGCTTTGAGAGACCCAGTCATGAAAGGACTTGAAAATTAAAGCTTCACTTCACCCAATTTAGATTTGCCCTAAAGTGTGGCCACCTTTAGTATTTTGCTGACGGCCCCGGGCTCCCTCCTTAACTCATTCCTGACCTGGTTACTTCTCTTTCTCATTGGATCATGCATGGATTAAAGAAAATATTTTAAAATACAGGGTCCAGCACAAATAACACCCCCTTTTTATTACAAAATCATAAGCATGTAATTCTGTAACATAACAAGGTCACACTTAAGCACACCATATGACATTTAAGTGAAATGTTTACATTAAAACTATATATTATTACACCCACATTATTACCCTACCAGCCACACTCAAGCAGGCCATTACTTCGGCTGGACCCTGTATTTTATCTAGCATTTGTAATGGTTTTTAGAGGAACCAGGCATCTGGTATAGTGGGCTGTGAGAACTGGGCTCTACCTGGACCTAAGTGCTACCTGTTTTCAGAGGCCCCAGCCCCAGAGTCGGCTGCACGTCTAAAGCATCCACGGCTACAGCCATGCTAGCTGCAGCCCCGGCAGGCCAGCCACTCACCCTTGGACGCGGACGGTGTGGGAGTGCTCCGTGCCACAACCCGGCGGGCCATGAGGGGGGTCGATGGAGACTGAGAGGCCACGTTTGCCATGAGCTGAGGCTGGGATGGATACTAGGGTGACTGTGTGGGGCAGGCGAGAGCCGGGGGAGTCAGGCAGGATCTGCTCGATGACAGGCGTCACCACGGTCTGGTAGTAGCAGTGCCCACTGCAAGAGCCACAGGCAGCAGAGACCCAAAGAGTGGGAAGAAAAGAGCATCAGCGGTCACTAGCATCACCACTCCCACCCCCAAGTCCCAGGCTCCCCAGTACGGCTCCCCACAGGAGGAGGGTCTGAGCAGCCTGGTGGGACTGGGAGCAGAATCTGCGCCTGCAAGGCCCTGCCCTTGGCCCTGTCTGGTGCTCAGTCATTCTGGGTTTGTCTGCTCTCTTGTGCGTTGTAAGCTGACCGGAAAAAGGCCAGGGGTTAAATCCAGTTCAGGAGTAAGTCATTAAAAGTCCATGTGGGATCAAGCCATGCTGCCCTCAAATCCAGTTTTATCAGGTTATATGATAAGAATTTCTCTGGTCTTTATCCCTGGTTTCTGGGAAAGAGGCCCTGAATCCTTGGAATAAGAGTGCCTTTGTTTTGAGCCCTCAGACCACACCTGAGTTTACATTAACGAGATGATTTAGAACGGGGGTCAGGCACCAGAAAGACCAACCATGTGATTAGGAGGCTAGGGCTTTGACCCAGTCCAACTCCAAGCAGGGGAGGGGATTTGGAGATGGAGTCCAATCACATGCCCACTCATTCAATCAATTCTGCCTACATAATGAAACCTCAATAAAAAAACTCTGGTGATGTGGGGGCAGCGGGGTGGAGAAGGGTCACATGTCCTGATTCCATGGGGAGAATGCATAGACCCTCTGATTTCAGGATCCTCTCAGACCTTGCCCTTTGTGTCTCTTCATCAGGCTGATCTTGACTTGCACACTTCAAAAAAATGGAATCCTAATTAGAGTACTTTCCAGAGTTCTGTGAGTCATTTTGTGAATTAGCAAACCTGAGGGGTTTGTGGGAATCCTTGACTTGTAACCAGCTGGTCTGAGGTGGGAGCGCGCTGAAGACCCCTGAACTTGCCTGAAGTGAGAGGATGCTCTTGTTGGGGCCTGGGCCCTCGACTCACAGGGTCAATGGTTGGTGCCAGAATTGCACCACATGCAGTAAAACATCTATAAGAAAGCTGACATCTGAGGCTTCCATAGTGTGACTCTCATACCATATTTCCCAGTCCCTTCTACAAAGCACTTTGATGAATGACTGCCCCACACGGGCAGGGAAAGGCCCCAGCGTGGGAGACCTGTGATACAGGTGGACGTGGCAGATGCAGAGAGGGGCCAGGGCACTCACCAGTACAACTTGGAGTGTTCCACCAGTGTGTAGGTGTCCCCATCACCAATGAAGGTCCCGCATGTGAGGCAGATGAAGCACTCGGGGTGGTACTTCAGCTCCCCGGCCACCTGGCAGAGGGGTAGGGGGACAACCCAACTTAGCAGCCCCTTGAGCCCCCATACCTCCTCCCCTCGGCCTTCTCTCAGAAGGGTAGCCCCAATGGACTTCAGGGGCCTGGCTGGCCAGCCTCTGAGCTCCTGGACAGAGCTGGTCTAAAGATAGGAGGCTGAGGGGTACAGACAGACAAATGCATTAAGAAGGCATGAGGGAGTTAGAGACCCAGTGAAAAGAACGATGAGAGAGGTGATGGGAGAGAGATCTGGAGTAGAGAAACCTGTGAGGACACGGACACATGCACACACACCAGGTGAGGTGTGAAAGGTGGACAGGGGTGCTCACCATGACCAGCCCCTTGGTGATGTGTTCCGAGCACCCGTGGCAAGACTCGCCATAGCGGGCCCAATAGTCCTTCTTGCAGAAGAGCTGCCCATCCTTCTCATAGTACTGGTGTGAGAGGGAGGCACTGCATTCACAACACCTGGGTAGAAGAGGAGATGGGGCTTAGCATGGCCCACTCCACCCCTCCCTGACAGCTGGGTCCTGCCACAGTCTGTAGGTGCTTTTATGAGAGTTAGAAAAAGGTCTGGCCAGTGGCAGCCTGCACCGGAGTACAGGGCTTAGCAAGTGCAGTCAGGGAGGGATTCAGCCCCGTCTGGCCCCCTTGAAGCCTCTGTGCAGTGCACAGCCTGCACGACCACCAACAGCAGTTCTGCACCCAGAGTATGTGGCTCCCTGCCAGCCCCAAGTGGGCGGTGCTCCTCAGCTGAGCCCTTGCCCCTTGTCATGTAAGGAAGATGGGCCAGAGAGGGCAAGTGACTTGCTCTTGGTCACCAGTCAGGCAAAGGGGGGAGTGGAACCAGAGAGCCCAGGATTGAGGTGGTGGGCCTGAACAAACCCTGGGCCCCACTTCTCCAGTCTAGTCAGCTTCCTCTCCCTCTGGCTCCCCCCACCGCCCCCCAGCAATGTGGAGGCAGCTTGAGCCAATTGACATACACATGGAAATGACCTGTTGGAGGCCTTCTCATTGTCTTGGTTAAATTTATTTAATACTCACAGGCCACCATGAGGCGGGTATAGGCATCCCCATTTTAGAGGTGAGGCAGATGAGCTTCAGAGCATCTAAACTGCCCCAGGTCAGGCAGGAGTTCAGTTCAGCAGAGACCCATCAGTATCAGTTAAGAGAGGGGATCTGCAGGTTTCCTAGTCCCCAGCCAGCCTTCCACTTGCTGCCAGTCACAACAAGGGGCTAAAGGGCAGCGCAGCATAGCCCCTCCCTCCACCTCAACCAGAGCGTAGTCCCCGCACCTTCCTTCAGAAAAGTAGTGGTGCCATACGGAGGAAGCTGGCATGTACGGGATCACCAGGGCACGGTCCCCTTGCCCCCCACCAGAAGCTACCGGGGAGGCCCAACTGGTGGGGCCCCTGAAGGGCTAATAGGGGAGGAAAGACGTGCTGGCTTCTTAGTGTCACCCCACAGGCCTGGAGCTAGACCCACATGCCCGGCTTCTTTCCGTCCAAGTGTCCATCCCAGTGGGTGGGCACCAGCAGCCCAGCTAAATCGGGATGAGCAAATGCAGAAATGTGGATCCTGTGGGCCCTCAGGGGCCTGTTTTCAAAGGCCTGATCCAGGGTTCCAAAGGCCAGAGTACAGACCATGCAGAGAATCCATCCAGCTCTGCTGCTCTTTAGGCCCTCTGGGTAATGTGAGAAGATCACTCAGGGACAGAAGGATCTGGGCTCAGTAGGAAAACAATCCAGAAGAGAGGGGGACAGGAAAGACTGGGACCTGAGTGAGACAGTCCCACCCCCCAGAGAATCGACTGCTTTCACTGACTGCTCCTTAATCAGGGAACTGGGAATGAGGAGGGAGAGGAAAGCAGCCAAGAGCGCTGGTGGGACACTGTCCCTTTAAGAGGATCCAGCCTGTTCCCTATTGTCTGGGAGCCTGAAGGGGGGGAGGGGACAGGTTGGTGTGGGGCATGGCAAGGGCAGGGAAAGCACAAAATGCCTGAGTTCAGGGGCAGGGTGAGGGGGTAAGGGTGGTGCCCAGAATAGAAGTCTGGTGCAGTCACCCTATAAGAAAGGGCCTCCGGAGGCTGCCCTGGGACGTGAAAGGAGGCAGCGGAAGCAGCAGCTGGACCAGAGCCATGATGTCATCCGCACCCCTCCACCCGCAACCCTTCCTGCCCTGGGCCCCACAGGGGGCGGGTATCTCACTACAGGGTGATGAGGGGGAGCAGCTCTGCAAAGAGGCGGTGTACTGGGAGGTCCCCCACGCCCTGTGCTAATCAGTGATTCACTTCACCAGACACCAGACACATCGCGTCACGGGAGTGTCAGCACAGGAGTCTCCCCCTCACTCTGCAGCTGCCAGGATGTAGGAAGGCCAGGGGTGGGGGTGGGGCGAGGGGGTCCTGCCTCTGCTCTTCTCCCACCTGCAAACTCCTACTCCTTTACAAATATTCATCACTGTTACAGCCCTGGAAGACCCAAAGCTGACTCACCCAAGGGCTCTGTGAATGCAATCGAAACTGGTCACTATTTCCCTGAAGCCTGCTCAGAGGCCTGTCTAGGTGTCCCCGACCCCACACCAGCCTGCACAGCCAGCCTTTCTTGGCCCACCAGTCTTTGCCATTAGCCTGCAGGGGCCCTGAGGTCCCAGGCCAGGCATCCACAAACACTGAACTCCAAAGTGAACAAAGTGGTTCCAGCCAGACAGGCCTGCTGTATGCACTCTATCTGCGGCATTTCCCACCCCCAGCATCCTCAGAGCTGTTCCTCTAACTCAGAGAGAGCACAGGGGACCTCCATCTCAGATAGGGGACCTAGCCCAGGCTCATGCAGCAGCTTGGTGGCTAGCACTTGTAGCCTCAGTGACCTTTGCTGATGGAAGGTACCAGGAGCCCCTGACCCTGTCCATCCCTTCATCCCTTAGGTCCTTATCCAGCCAGAAGCCAGAAGAGGCAGGTGGGGCAGGCTGGCCTGGCTCTAAGGGGTGTCCTGCTCATGCCCCCACTCCGAGGGATGTCAAGAGAGAAATGCCAGGTACTAAGGATGTATAGAGATGGCCCAGGGCCAAACGGAGAGGAAGTCCTAAAGCACAGTTGTCTGTCTGCCCCATACAGGGTACCCATCTCTGAGAGCAGAAGACAAGGCCAGGCTCAGGAACTAGGGAACTCGTGAGAGGCCTGGGCTGAGAGGCAGAGGCAACCTCTGCAATGACAGGTCCATCCCTTCTAGGCGTGCCCTTTACCCAGGGCCACATTCCTGGAGCTCAGAGGTGAAGGAAGGAGGACCAGCTCACGGAGAGACTGCGCCAGAAAGGCCTGAAGCTTCAGCGGCGGCCTGCTTCCCCTCGACAGGACAACAGTGACCAGCAGTTTCAGTTCTCCTGCCCCACAGCCTGGACCCAGGTCGGCCAGTCCCACAGTTGCTTCTAGCTCCAGCCCTCACACGGGGGTGGGGGGGCCCTTCCCGAGGCCTGGGACAGGTAGGGAAGGGGCTTTGCACTTACTTGGCCCCTCTAAGGAAGCACCGTCTTCTCAGAGGCGAGGCCAGCATCCTCTGCAGTTCCCCACAGCAGGGGCTCTGGGGGCCAATGGGGAGCGAAGGGGCAGGGGTGGGCCTATAGACTGGCTGCTTCCCCATCCTACTCCAGGCACTCAGGATTGGAGGCCGCAGAGGGTGGGGCCAGTGTGGCCACCCACATGGGAGGAGAATGCAGCAATGTGGGTGCAGGACTTGGTCTGAGCCCGCAACAGGAAGCAGTCGAAGGCCTTACACCGCCGGGGCTCTAGTGCAGACAGGGAAGCTGTGGCAGCCACTCTGCCCTTAGCCCTACACCTTGAGAAAGGCACCCTCCACACTCCTCAGCGTCTACTTTGACAAAGGTGCTAGGGTCTCAGGGCTCTCTGGGGACATGGACAAACTCAAAGGAAGCTGCTTCTTCCGGTGCTGCCCCCAAGAGAACAGAGGCCGACTTTCCTGGACAGTCTGTCCTCCTTGCCTCAAAGGTCCCTCAAAGAGGAGGCTACATTCTGGCCCAGGCTCAGACCCACAGTGTCAGCTGTGTGCTCACCCCTCCTCGCCCAGGGCCAGCCCACCCAGCCTCCAGGGAGGTGTTACCAGAGCTACGGCAGCAGCAGCAGCAGCGGCAGCACCAGGGCTCATGCGCAGCAGGCTGCTGGGAAGGGACCTCCCAAAGGCAGCAGCTGGGCTAAAGGGAAGCTTGGACCACTCTGGGCCTGGCCATAACCTTCCGGGAGGCGTGCCTGGAACAGAGAAAGGGGGGCCCCTGGGGTGACAATGACCCCTAGTGTTAATGCCAGATGCATCCTGTGTGCCCACAACTCTCCCACTGCAAGGCCTCAGAGCCCAGGGGCTGGTGCCAGCCCTACTTCCTGGCACTGAGATGCTTCCAAGGAGAAACCAAGCAGACTCTGGGGCCTCGGGCATCCCACTGAGAACCAGACTGGCTGCCTATTAACCATGGGGACCAGACAAACAGTGACTCTGCCTAAACTGTTTCTCCTAATTGTCACGGGATACGGACACTGCTGGTCTCGCCAGGGGCTGTTGAGAGAACCATACCACATGTCAGAACTCCAGTGCAAGCCACACTGTGGACCTGTGGCTCTTCCTGCCGGAGGGCCCTCTTCCCTGTGGAGCCCTCCCTCCCTGTGCCCTGTCACACCAGGGACCCCGATCATGCCTTCTTCCACACCCACGCCAGGGGCCTCGCCCCTCCCCCGGTAATGCAGTAGGGACCCTTCACGGCTAGTTCGATGCACCCTGTCCCACTACTTTACTGTCCTCCTGGCCCTCTCCCGAGTCTCCCAGGGCACCATCTCCCTCCCCGCCCGAGGCACAGGGGCCTTAACTTTTTACTCTGATTTCTCTTGGCCCCACCTCAAACCTCCCCACCATCTCGGTGCCAGCCCGAGGCAGGCTGTTCTCTCTGGCCTTCTCACCTCTGACCTCAGACCATCTCGGCCAGCTCTGGGCTGGTCACTGCCACCCTGGATAGTCCACTGCACCTCCAATTCAACAGGGACAGGGCACAACTCACCACCAACCCAGCCCAAGACTCCATCAGAACCAACAGGCCACTGGCCTCCCCAGCACCAGGGTAAAAACCAGACCGCTTTAAATTCAGCCCGTGCCAGTCACCTGTTCCCAGCCCCGCCCTAAGGCCCCCAGACCTCTTCAACTCTGCAGGGATTTGGAATGAGACAGGCAGAGGTTCAAGTCCTGCCTCTAGCTGTTGCAACTTTCAGTAAGTTACTTCACTTCTCTGAGCCCCCGTTTCTCACATAATGTACAAGCTGGGCAAGTAACGGTGCTTCATTCGATTATGTCGAAGGTTTAATGAGGTGACATTAAAAGAGTGCTCAATAAGTAGTGGCTAATGTGACTAAAACTTGCCAAACATTGTCCCTCCTATACCTGCAGTTCTCTCCACTCAGGCACTGTCGTGGGTCAGACTTTGAGTACAGGACTCTGAAACTCTGGACTGTGATGGTCCCTTCCCTGACAAGTTACCATCTGCCATTGGAATGGCACTTTTCAGTAGCACTTCGCCCACATCCCTCCCTTGTTTTCTGCTTTTTGAATGCCTTTGTTGGCTCCCTACTACCCTCAGGGAGTCCTTATCATGGCGCCCAGGGACCTTTACAAGTCAATCCCAACTCTACCTCCTCCATTCATCCCTCGACTCCATCTGCTCCAACAAACGAGCTGTTCCCGTTCCCTCAGCTGCCCCTGAGCTCCACCTCCCCGCTGGGCACACCGTTTTCTCTGCCTGCTGAGAATCCCCTGCCTCCCTGAAGACCTCCTTCTGAACACTGCCTGGGAACCCTGGGGCATGGTGCCTGCCTCTCCTGTGGCCTCCCTAGCCAGTGGTGTGGGTGCTGTGTATTCATTTCACTCACTGGCTGTGTGACATTGGTCAAAAGAATTAACCTCTGTGTCTCAATTAATGGAGATAATGCAATACCCAACTATACAAAGTCCTTACCAGTGTCTGGCCCTTACTAAACTGTAGAAAACGTTAGATATTATTCTTAAAAAAGAAAAGAAAAAAAACTTTGTCGGAGGTCCCCATGGACTGAAATAAACTCCATCAGCTGGGGTCGATGCCCTGACCCCAGCTGAGCCTCCCAACTTCACCTTCCTTCCTTTGCAGTGTGTCTCCACCTGAACTCTGCTGTTCACCGACTGAGCCGAGCCCTTTGCACCTGCTGGGTCCTCTGCCTGGAATGGTCCTTCCCATGTGGGAAATCTCACATCCTTTGTGACACCAACACTGGCTCTAGAGCCAACTCTAAGGCCATCCCTGACCCTGCTTCTGATTATGGTCCCATTGGGTTGCTGGACCATCTTTGGGTCCCAAGTGCTCAGCCACAGCCCTGACCCTTCTCTTCAACACTTGGGAGCTGGTGTCTGGGCTATGCAGCTTCACAACTAGCCTGGTGCCCGGTGAAGGAGGCCCAGCTTTCCTCAAGGCTGGGTTTCTCTGCCTTCCTCCCCTGGAGCATCAGCATGCAGAAGGCAAGGGTGCACTGCTCTCCCCGTCTCCCCTCTGCCTTGGTGCCTGCAGGCCTTGGTAACACTGGTGGAAAGGCAGGTTTTTCTCCCCTCTTTTCCTCAGAGGTCTAGAATGTCAAAACAGAGAGACCTTTAGGGATCTTCTAGTCCAAATGCCTATTTTACAGATGGGGAAATTGAGGCCAAGGACTTGCTGGAAGTCAAGAGCAGCACTGGGGGAACAGTCAGCTCTCCCAGATTGCTTGCCCAGTCTCTCGTCTCTGGCAGGCCTTACTTAGGGCACCCCACCTTACCTGAAGCAGTCGGCGTGCCAGTCAGCGTTCAGGGCCTGGAGGTACTGGCCGTCATAGATCCTCTGGCCGCAGCTCGCACACACAGGCAACTCGCTTCCTGCAGGGGTGGAAAGGGAGCCAGGAACCATTCTTAGCAGAGCTGGTTTGGTGTCGGCCCAGCCTGCCCTGCTGACCCCACATGCACGTGCACACACACACACACACACACACACACACACACACACACAGCACCCAGGCTGGGCAGCCGCTGTGCTGAGCAGAAGAAAGAAGCTAGGTTTGCGAGTCTTGCTGAGACTTTGGCTAAAGTACCAAGTCTCTCTGGATCTCAATTTCCCTATCTATAAACTGACTGTAAACTGAAGAGGAGGATCAGATTTCCACTCTCCAGCAACAGCATTCTTCAACTCAAGGTAAACGGGGAGAAAAAAAGCAGCAGGATTTAGAAATAAGGCAGCGGTGACATTCTTGTCACAGCTCCTTTTCTCCCCTGCCGGCCCAGGAAAAGGTACTGAGAGGACCCTTCAAGTCCAGGTGGGGACTGGAGAGGACTGGATTGGTCCATCCTGGGTTGAAGTTCCTTGGAGGGGAAGGGCAGGAAGCCCAGGGGTGCCAGCCCCAAATGAGCCTTGGCTATGTCCTGGCCTGACTAGGGGTGGGACTGCAGAACTGGGCACTCCCAGACACCTGCTCCAGGGAGGCCTGGCACCTCCACAAGCTGCCCACTAGGCATGCTTAGTCATCTTTGGGGCCTGGCACGACTGGAACTGGGTGGGCCCTGGAAGATCCCCTAGGCCCACCCTTGTATAGATGGAGTGATTGAGATCTGGAGAGATTAAAGCTTGCTGGGTCACACAGCAGCCTCCCAGGCCACCACCTGCCCCTCCATGAGGACCCAGGGACCTGCGACAGGGGTGATAGTGAGGTGGGCTCCTGGTGGACGGCTGGCAGTGGCCCTAGTGGAGGGAAGGGCTGGCGGGTCTGGCTAGTCCAGACCAGGTGGGCCTATGTGATGGCGCAGTTAAGGAAACCCAGGGAAGGAGACCTGACCCTGCTCTGGCTGGGGAAGTTTTGGGGTTTTGGTTTTCACACCCTAACTGTCGTGTAGTCCCAAGTCTTGAGCCCCAGTAAGGGGGAAGGGGCTGAAGAGGAGGCTGGGATGACTCATCCTCCCAGCCAATACTGATGGCAGGCACCGGGTTTGCTACAAGGAGAGTGGGTGGGGGCCCGCAGCATACTGCCAACGGCTCCCTAGACGCTCCTCTAGGCTCTGCCCATTCGGCCCCTACCCACCGGTACCGGAGTCCAATTATGCGGCCCCCAACTGTACAAACAAGGAAACTAAAGCTCTGCAGGTAGCGCCTGGCTCAAGGTCACGGAGCCAAGCAGGCGTGAGGCGGCGACTCCGACCCTGGGCTGCGGGCTCCCCTAGAGCCTTTCTTCCCAGGCCAGGATAGAGCCTGGATAAGGGGTGGCCCGAGGCAAGCTCCGGGTGGACGGAGCACGCGGATGAAGGCTGGGGGTGGGGGCAGCTCGCCCGGGACTCCAGTCGGGTGATTTCGGTCGGAGGCTAGGGGAAGGCGGGGAAGAAAGGCAGGAGGAGCTCTCCGTTCGCGGGAGGGCAGCCCACCAAGGGCCGAAGGGGGGGTGGGAAACCGGGGATGAGGGGGAAGCCGGGGGTAGGGTGGCGGGAGCGTGTCAGGGAGGGGCCTGCGGGCTTCGGAAGGTCCAGCTCATCCCGCAGGAGGGAGGGGCGCGGCCTCGCTGCAGACCCGGCCTCCCCGGCGCCCCGGCCCAGCCCCCTTCGTACCCCCGGCCCCGCGAGAAGGCGCCCCCGCCCGGCCGGCCCCCAGGTCGGCGCCCCGCCCGGCCCGCGCCCCGCGCACCTTCCTCTCCCATACGTTCTTCCCTCCAGGTGCAACAAAGTAGCGTCAACCTCATGCACTCGGCGGGAGGCGGGGCCCGGCGGGGCTGGGGCTGGGGCTAGGGGCGGCCCGGGCCCGGCGAGCTCGCCCGCAGCCGCCGCCGGCCCGGGAGGCGGAGGCGGAGAGAGCGGGCCCGGCCGGGTGGGCTCGGGGCTTGCGGCGCCGCAGCCGCCTCTCCGACACCCGCTCAGGCACCGGCTCCGCGCCGCGGCGGCCTGGGGAGCGAGCGGAGGGGCGGGCCGGGGCGGGGCCTCGCGGCTGCGGCAGGAGGCGGGGCGGGGCGGGCAGGCGGCGAAATTGCCCTGCGCGGCCCCGCCCCTCTCGCGACCGAGGTGGGGGTCCCCCCCCTTCCTCCGCCCCTCACTACTCCTCCTCCCCTTCATTCATCTTTCCGGAGCTACAACTCTGCCTGGAGCCGGGAGGCAGAGATAGAGAAACCGAAAACTGCGGCTTAGGGGAGACGCGTGCTCCGATGCGTCAGCCTAGGCAGGTTTAGAAGCCCCAAGAAGCGGCCTCAGTTTCCCTGCGGGGACCTCTTCTGACCCAAGCCAGCTAGATGGAGATCAAGAACCGGACTTGAGCTGAAGGAGACGTTGTGGACCCTGAGGACCCTGGTGACCGCCTTCGGAGGGGCGCAGCCCAGTTCCTCTCCCTCTTTGAGGCTTGCAGTGAGGACGGGGGCGGGAAGGCGATAACCCAAGTCTCAGGCCTTCAAGGGCTAGGCAGGAAGCTAAAGGAGCAGGACCTGGGGGAGGAGTGATCTGCCAGCCTGTGACAGATGTGCCCAGGCGTCTGCCCTGCCCGGGGATCAGGAGGGGACACAGCTGAACAGGGTTTGGGCTGAATGAAGTGGGCAGAGGAAATGGGTGGTTCCCAAAGCAAAAGTCCCCAGTCCAGCCCTGGAAGGATGTAGCACCCTGCCTAGAAGTGGAGAATCCTAGAATGCCCCCTGGGGAGGCAGTGCTCTATCTGCCCCCTAGACCCAACCTCCTACTTCATCATACTGCCCAGGAAGCTATGAGCGGAGAGGTTGATCCATGTGCCCAAGTGCACCCATTGAATAAAGGCAGAGGTACCCAGACTGGCTTCAGCCACCACATTTACTAAATTTCTCTTACAGGCAAGTGGCCTGTAAGGTGGAGGCACTCACCCCTGGGTGCGAAACAATTACCTGGTGGGGGGAAAATATTCAAATTTTGACTTCTAATATAAAGAAGCTGGGCTTTAGAGGTACTTAATATTTAGATTGCTGCCAGTGCCCTCACTGCCTTCACGTCAGATGGTCCCAGAGCACTGACAGGAAGTGTCCCCAGGAGACATGGAGGTCCTAGGAGGCTGCACAGCAATATATTTGCTTGTTTGTCACTTTTCCATGGGGTTTATCTCAAACAGGGTCTTGGCAGGAACAGGCGCACTCAGCGGAGATTACTGAGGAGAGTTTAATAAAGGAATTTTACAGCTGGTTGGGCAGGTTAAGGGAAACCAATGAAAACAGGCACACACCCCAGGTGGAAGGGGCTTAGGAGAGGACCACAGTGCAGGGCGAAGGGAGTGTGCAGAGTGGACGTCGAGGAGCTGCGGGCCTGTCCCATTAGCTGAGTAATGTTACCTAGTTTTAACAAAACTAAACCACGCAGAATAAACCGTGGCTGCAAAAGATTGCAGAGATTGATGACAATGCTAATACTGCGAGAAGAGTGAAAAAACGGAGCTGGCATTTCCATTCTGAGCTGGAGCTCCTTGTCAGCAACATTTCCCGGTGGAACCAGGGACCGGCTCATCAGACCTGACGTATTCAGTTACATCGCTCATACAGGTACTGTCTTTTTTAACTGAAAGCGAAAGGTTTGTTTATCTCATCTTTAGAGCACTCTTCTTAAAAATTTTTTTGCATTGTTATGTGATGACTATATTTTATTATTTGTATAGTCAAGTATGTGTATAATTTATAAGTGAATATGTCTACATGTGTGTGATAGGGCACAAATCTTAATTAGGGTGTCCATTTGCAATTCAGGTGGCAAATGTAGATACAGCTATAGACATAGATTTGTTTAAAGTTATTTTACTGATGGGATTTGTGATAAAATTTTCTAGACAAAGGGTTAAGAGGCCTGTGGGAAAGGCTATATAACTCCAGGTCAGTGACTAGGATTTGACCAAACTGGTGCCTGGCTAAACAGAAGCTGGTGAGAAGCAAGAGGCTCTGTGAGGACACTGTCACAGGATGAGTCCAAGACTGACACCCAGGACAGGGCTCAGAGCCTGAGCTGCCCTCATCTAGGAAGAAAGAGAGAGCTGCATCATGGGATCCCTGCTGTCAGATGCAGTCTGCCTCCTCCTCACCCAGGCACAGGGCTCGGGGGCTCCCTCACCCTCTCCTTGAACTGCAGACACCAGGATCCAAATGTCTGCTTGGTATCTTCATTCGGATGGCAAACAGGCACCTCAAACTTAGTGCATCCAGGCCAGAGCTCTTAATTAGTTAGCCTGGATCTGCTCCTCCCCAGGTGTTTATGTCAATAAATGCCACCACTGTCATCTAAGTGGTTCAAGCCAAAACTGTAAGTGTCCTTAACTTCACTCATACTCTTTCTCCACTCCTGCGTCTGATCCACCAGCAAATCCTTTTGGCTCATTGTACAAAATATATCCAGAATTCTGCCACTTCTCCCTGATCTGGCTGGATTTTCAGTGCAACAGACCCAAGTCTGGGCCCCTGGTGCCCTGCACAGCATCTGAACACATGGGTGAAAACCTAATGTTTAGTTTCCTCGCTTTCAAATCCGAAACCCTTATCTTAAGCCTTACGGGATGTAGTCCCTGGCTATTTCTTTGCCCTTATTTTTTCACTTCTTGCTCACTTTTGTTAACCAAGGTGCACCTCTCTGCTGTCCTGGCGTCCTAGCCATGTGCTCATCACAGGGTCTTTGGCCCGAGGTCAGGTGTCCCCAACTATCCCAAGTATCTTAACATTCTTTTTCATTCTCTGTCGCCTTCCATGACTCTTAACCTTCATAGCACGGATCCACTTGACATTAGAGTTAATCATCTATTTGCTGTATTAGTTTCCTGTGGCTGCCATAAGGAATAACCACAAACTTGGAAGCTTAAAACAACAGAAATTAATTTTCTCACAGTTCTGGAGGCCAGAAGTCCCAAATCAGTTTTCCTGGGCCGAAGTCAAGGGCCATACACTCCTTGTGTAGGCTCTAGAGGAAGATCATTTCCTTTCCTCTTCCAGCTTCTTCTTTCTTTCTTTTTTTTTTTAAGATTTTATTTATTTATTTTTAGAGAGGGAAGGAAGGGAGAAAGAGAGAGAGAGAGAGAGAGAGAAACACAATGTGCGGTTGCTGGGGGCCGTGGCCTGCAACCCAGGTATGTTCCCTGACTGGGAATCGAACCTGCGATGCCTGGTTCGCAGCCCGCGCTCAATCCACTGAGCTACACCAGCCCGGGCTTCTTTCTTTTTAAATTGCGGTAAAAATCACATAATATAAGTTTATTATCTTAACCATTTTTAAGTATGCATTTCAATAGTGTTAAAGTATATTCACATGATTGTGAAATTAATGCAGAAGGTCGAGCCTGGGGAGCTCGACTGCTTGTTCAGATAAGCCAAAAAAACCACAAGGAGGACTTGTAGAGAAGACAGGGCCTTTGTTACTCACATTACGGGGAGCACCGACGGCAGCAGAAGGGCAAAGCAGGACCACACCTCCTTGAGTCCAAGACTTGTTTTAAGGGGTCCCACGCAAAGAGGGCACGTGTCTTGCGTGTGACTCTAAACTGCATTACCTCAATGTGTACGTGCAGAGAGAAAAGGTCAAGAAGCAGTCACACGGGACTAGAAGCCGCTCCAAAAGGAGGTAAGGTGGGAATTACAATCCATTTCCAAAGTGATCCACATTCCTCCCGGCCAGGGCCCTCTGGCCAGGCTCCTATCACGGGGGCTGGAGGAGCCGTGTCCAGCACGACCCTACAGAAACAGATCTCGAAAACTTTCTCATGGTGCAAATCCAGAACTCAATGCGCATTAAACAACATCTCCCTTCTCCCCTCCCTGGTGACCACCATTCTACTTTCTGTTTTTATGAATTGGACTATTTTAGATACCACATATTAATGGAATCACACAGTATTTGTCTTATGACTGGCTTATATCACTCAGCATAATATCCTGTAGGTTCATTCATGTTGTAGCATGTAATATTCACTTCCCTTTCAAGACTGGTAATATTCCATTGTCTGTGTGTATCACATTTTGTGTATCCATTCATTCATCTGTAGACATTTAGGTTGCCTTTACTTCTTGGCTATTATGAATAGTGCTGTTAGGAACATGGGAATGCAAATATTTCTTAGAGACTTTGCTTTCAATTCTTTTGGGGATATACCCAGAGGTGGGAATGCTGTATCATATGATAGTTCTGTTTTTAATTTTTTGAGGGATCTCCACACTGTTTTCCGTAGTGGCTTCACCATTTTACATTCCTACCAAGAGAGTACAGGGGTCCCAATTTCACCACATCCTCATCCACACTTGTTATTTTCTGCTTTTTTTGACAGTAGCCATCCTAACAAATATGAGATGATATTTCATTGTGTGTATGTGTTTAGAGACTGATTCAGAGTTTTTATTCTCCTATAATTGCAATGTACTTTTGGGAATGTGATGTAATTTAAATATTCACATCAGAAAAAATATCAAATAGATTAATTAATACTTAAGTCTCTCATGAGAGAAAAAGTAAATAAGGATGTTAACAGAGGAAAAGGTTGGTGGACATGGGTTGTCAGTGTAGATAACTTCTTTTCCTCTTTTTTTTATCTTGAGCTGTAGAGATTCTGTAGAGGTAGTGATAAGCTTTATTTTTTTTCCTGCAATACTTAGGCTATTTTTTGAGATGTCAATTAGTACTTTGTGCTTTAATTTGGATTCCTCTGCTGATTGGTGATACTGGGCATCTTTTTACTTGTTGTTGGCTATTTGTATATCATCTTTGAAGAAATTTCTATTCAGGTCCTTTGCCCATTTTTTAACTAGGTTGTTTGATTTACAGATGAGGCCCCCTAAAAAAAAAACAGAATTATCTTCTGGAGGGCCGGCCCCTTGTAGGACAGGCTTCCCCTGCCAGGTGAGTGTTCCAGGAACACATCTGTATCAGTGTACCAGCTGGCGTTGTTGTGGAAGGCTGCATTCAGCTTC